GTTATCGAACGGGTTGAACAGTACAACCCCGTTTAGTTAGGAGCACTAGGACCACCCCTATATACTTGTGGCCTGGTTAGTATTAATATCTTGCCAAACACCCTGTTCTTGTTCAGTTTCTGCTGATGTTTAATTACTGATGATTATTCTTTATATAGTACCATTGAAGATCTGTATTATCTTTCTACTTGGGACTTGTCAAACGAGATTCTGTATACCTCAGCTCTTGAATTTACACAACTGTTACACTTGGGTTTCATGTAACTCTTGTATTACACTATAGTTTCACATTCTTTTAGTACAAGTTGATATGACCAAAGCTATAGATTCGATGATTCATTAGATTATATACAGACTGCCATAACACATTTCTTAAATTCGAATTTCATTGCTGGTAGGATTCGAACTTTTGTCCTGCTGTTTGGAGATACAACAACTTACCAACTACACTAAATCGCCACACTCTCTAAATATACTTGATATATATAATACAAAGTATAGTAATATATAAAATAAAAATATTAAAAAATAAATAAAGTTATAGACAAAATCTTACCTGAATACCAAAAAAAAGAATTAAACTTATTTTTTATTTATTTATTTTGAATTTGCTATATACAGGATAAGATTAGTTACAGATTGTATTAAGATGATATTAATTTAAACTATCTATTATATCTTGTATAGCACCTAAATGTAGCAAATCATCTTTTAATTTTCTATTTAAAAAAACTAATTTAAGTTAAACTATCATTAGTTATAGGAGAAGAAAAAGAAGACCCAAATTAAACTTATTTTAAAATAAATAAGAGTTTAAAAAATCCTATTTTTATTTTTAAAATTCTGACTCAAGTTAATAAAATTAACTTTTTAATAAATATTTATTAATAAATAATTATGTAAATAAGTTTATATATTAGAAAAAAATTTATAGATTATATGTTTTGATGCACTTATTTTAAATTATATACCAAGTCATTAACTATTGGATATTATATAACAAAATTAAAGTAAATTAAAAGCTTGAAGTTAGCAATAAATCACATCTTGTTTATGTAACTTTTTTAATAATAGCAATAATCAATATTATGATACATAATAAATAAATACTGTAATTTGATTGGATACAAAATGTTTCACGTAACAAATTATTATTTGTTATTAAATATTTAAAATTCTTTGGAACAATTAGAATGGTCCAAATGAGGTCCATTCCAATTGGTTCGTAAGTCCATTAATTTGAGGGTACAACACTGGTTTTTATAATAGTTTTTATTATAAACTAACACTTATATATGGTGTGACATATTCCCTGACTGCTAACGGCGACGACTCCGAATGATAATCATGTTTATATATGATCGCCAATCTAAAAATTGATTGGCCGATCATATAGGTCGCCGTGGCGACGGGTTGCTATTGTATTTTTGCCTTTTAAAAATAAGTTATATTTAAAATTTTTATATAATTTTTTTGCTTTTGTTTATAGCTAAACAAATTTAGCAAATATATTTAAAAGCAATTTTGATCAAGTTATTGCTAATAATTTATTACTACAGAAGTAGCATTGTTATTTTTGTCGTGGCTTGATGCTTAAGAATTAGATTTATTATTTTAAAATGGTTTGGAATGTATTTTTTTTGCTAAGTTAAATTATAATTTAGGATTAGAGTACTAATAATATATAAATCTTATATAGTAGGGTTTAGTAAAATTAAATAGAGACTCCAAGCTAACTCACAAATTCAACATCAACTTTGATAATATTTGAAATTAACATATTTACGTTTGTTAATTTATTTTTTTTATTTAGTTTTTTTTTTTTTTTAATTTTTAATTGCTTATATATATAAATATTTTTTACGTAAATAATACAATTTGATCGACCGAATAATAATAAATGTTAATAATGTTTAAAAATAAAAATACAAATTGCCAGATAAATATTTATAACCCAATTAATTTAATACAACAAAGATTATGATATATATACAATCGACTTTTTCTATAACGAAAATTTTTATAACGAATTATGAATATAAATAAATATAAACAAATTTTTAAAAATTTATGTTAGTTCGATGTGAGAGTACGTAGAATGGTACTTAGAAAACTTATTTATATGTATAAGTTTATGTATTGGATATGTATGTACTGTATGTATGTATGTATGTATGTATGTATGTATGTATATGTATATGTATGATTTTAATCAATTAAGGCTAAGCCTTATTTTTTAAATTTTAATTTCTTCAAATATTTTACCTAAAACAAATACAGAAAAATTCAGAATCCAAGATAATGATTAGCGAATTGATTTCAAAAAAAAAAAAAAAATTAATTACTTTTATTTTCAGCAATGATTGCATGATATTGAATTTAGATTTTTCATTGGATTTGAATGGTTTACTCTTTGAATCTAAATACATTAAAAATAAAATATGTATTTTAGTCAAATTATTTACAACGTATAACTGTATAACCGTATAATGGTATAATTGTATAACAGTATAATTGTATAACTCTTACCATTTAATTTAGTCGATTTATCTTGATTGAATAAAAAAACAAGTTAGTATAATAAAGGATTAAACAAGAACAAAAAGATTATTTAAAATTAGAAGTAAAAATACCATCAGTAGTATTTTTTGGTTGTGGTAAGTCTTTGAAACAATATAGTTGACTAGAATGCGGACTTGTTTTTAAATCAACATTTTCTTGAGAGCAAGTAGAAATTATTGAAGTTTCGGCAAGTAGAGATTCCATATTTTTATAAATTTCAATATAAGGGTTTTCATAAAATTTTTTAACCAATTTAGTTATTTCTCTATTAATTTCCAAAGCATCAGGACGATTTTCAGGCACAGTATCCCAACATTGTTTCATTAATTTTGCATATTCATATGGAATTTCACCCGATACATTTGGTCTTAAACCATTTACTAGATCGAGAGCAAGTTTGGAATCATGATTTCGATCAATGAAAGGTAATTCACCAGAAGAGATAACCCACATAATTATTCCTAAACTATAAATGTCTGATTGATTTGAATATTGTTTGCTATGTAACACTTCTGGAGCGATATATGGAAGGTTACCGTAAATATTATCAGGATGTTGGTCAATTGGTTCGCAGAAACCTAGATCGCTAATAAAAAAAGAACCTATTTGCCTGGCTAATAAAATATTACCCAAGTGTAAATTTCCATGAATTGAATCAGCATTATGTATTTTTCCTAATTTATAAGCTAAATCACCGACAATATCAAATTTTTGTTTCCATGTAAGAGAATAATTGTGTTCAGTTAAAAATTGATATAAGTTACATTCCAAATGATTCAAGACAAGAATATAATCCAGAGTTCCAGGTTCCTGAGTTATTCCATAACACTCGACAAGGACGTCTGCATATTCATCGTTACAGGAATATGATATAATCTATGCATAAATGTTATATTATTAATATTATTACTAAATATTCATATATAACTTATAACTAAATATATATTCATATATAACTTATAACTAAATAAGAGAAGGTAAAGAAGAAATATTTTAAAATACCTTTTCTAACCATCTTCCATCCATTTGACTAGAATTTTCCAATTTTTTAAGGACGACATAACGAGGGCCCACACTTTCAAGAGTAAGTTTCTCGGGATCCCATTTAACCAAACCATTTTTCCAGATAGCAGAATATATTGAAGCATAACCACCTTTAGTTTTAAGAGTAATCTTTTCGAAATCATCATAAGGTAACCATCTAAAAATTCTTTCTGGAGAGGAAACACACATTTGATTTTTTCGAATAATAATATCAATTTCATCATTTCCTGAGGTCCAATTACCGAAATCGACTTTTAAATAATCTTGAAGACAAAATTCACAATAATGAATGGAGTAAGTCCAACTTTGACAAATATTACATTGACGTTTTTCATCGATACTAGTATGTTTACGGGAAGACATCCAACGAGTTTTGAATTTTTCGAGACGATTGATTAAATGAATGCGTTCATGGTCCGAAAGAGAAGGGTCACTACAAAAAGAGGAACGAACGGATTCGAATTGAAGGTCGGCAGTTGGATATTTCTCTATGTTTACCAATGCCCAGGATCTTTTCCAGGATTCGTTTATTTTATTTTGATTTATAACATTAACGTTAGGATCGCTCATCTTAATCTTTTAATAATAATAATAAATAAATAGTAAAAAGCACTTAGATATAGATGGGAACAAAAACAAAAAGAAAACACAGATGAAGCATGGCAAAGGGAAAAAACAAAGGTTTATATTACAATTTGCAAGTTCTTATCAATAAAAATAAATAAATTAAGTTTAAATAATTAACTTATAAAATTTAATACGTTAGAACTTTTAAACTAGTTAATGCTATAAATTCCGATAGTGCTGTAGTGATAGAGTTTCATACACCATTTTCGGCAACTCAATTACTGAAACTTAGTAAATACTAATTCTATTTTTACATTCGAAGCACGTAAGTGTATATCGATTATGTGCCGTACGTACAGTACAGTACGTAAGTTCATACCAGATACGTACAGTACTTGTAGTACTGTATACATAACATTGTTTTATACAAAGGGCCGCCCATTTGTGCTTAACTTATTTTGGTGGTCGCATTAACGTATATGCATGTTACACGATGAGTACAAAGTTTGGTTTTAACATACAATTATTACCGTTACAGTATTACGTACTGTATATTACGTATAATTACTGCACTTATCGTTATGCTTGCCGTTTATCCGATATTTAATTCCTACATAC